CTCATTTGATCCCATTTAGTTCCATTCTTGGCATAAAGTTACTATTTTTAGACATTTTAAGGTTTTTTTTAGACTATTTTTAATTTTTTAAAAAGTAATGCTTTTTGATAACACTCAAATGAGATTTAAAGTCATTTAAAGCAATAAAAATAATTTAAATTGAGAAGTGAAAATCATGGTCTCATTTGGAAAATGTGACAAGAGTAGACAGTAAGTCTCACTGAGACAGTATGAGACTACTATCTAATGTTAAAACCGTGTAATGAGATCAGTCGAATTGGTAATGAGACTATCAAAAAATCTGGTCCTGGTTCCAGACACGGTCACACGGTCAGTCTAATTATTAATAACACTTATAAAATAACTAAATACATTCTTATATAAGTTGATTCTTTACTTTCTTATAAAAACTGCACTTCTCTGATATACTGTGATTAAAGATATTAAACTGTCGCTCTGATTACTGAATAGTTAATGCGGTCACTCAGTAGTATCTTAATATGAGAAATCAAGACATGCAGGTTTGAAACCTGCAGAAAATATATTAAATTCAGAACTTAAGTACCTCAGGTTTCTAATAAATACAGAGATGTATAAATTACTTTAATAAATCACTCTATATTTCTGAGCTGAGAAGTTATTATTGTATGTATTTAATTATCACTTCTTTGTATTTTTCTATATTTCTGTTATCTTGATATGATATCAACACCTGTATTTTCTTCTGTATAATTAACACTTAACCTGTATTTAACATCATGTAAGAACTCATTATAAGCTTCACTTATATATAAGTATAATAAAAGAAGAAGAAGAATAATAATAATAATAATATTAAACTGTTTAATAATTTCATATTTTATAATTATAAGTTTCTTAATTATTTCTTCTTATAATTGTCTCTGATAATAGTGATAAATATCTTAGCTTAAGTTGAACTTTTACTTCATTCTCATCTCTGTAAATGAAATTATCAGAATATTATATATTATTAGTATAATAATTAAATATATACTCCTAATAATTTTTCATAACTTTAGAATTAATTTAATATGTAAATTCATCAGATTATTTAAAAATAGTAGTTAAATTCAGTTTTATAAGTATATAGTTTTATCTGATTTTCAGTTATAAACTTATAATTAATGTATGTAAGTTCTATTTCAAAGTTAGTATTATAGTTGTATGTAATATAAAGTATTATCAAAGATTGTTAGTTACTAGAGAATTATATTTCACTGTCTTTATATCTCTAATATCTACTTATTCAAATCTCTGATAGTTAATATTATAATAGTCTTAGATTAATTTAATATATAAGTCTTATTTCTTCTCTATTAAATCTTGAGAAGTGTAGATATTAACTTGATAAGAGAGATCTAATAGAGCTGCTATAGTATAGTACTCTGTAAAAGATTATTCAGTTTTACTGTAGTAATATATCAGTTTATATCTTATAGTAATAATAGTCTGTACTATAGTATTATCTTAGACTGAATTTCTTTTTAAGTGATTTAACTGCTTCTTAAGATAAGTAAATAAACTGTTATATATTTATCAGACTGACTGCAGTATTAATATATAAGTGATTAAAACTATCTTAGTTATGTTATAAAATTGAAATAGTAAATTAATTATATATTTCAACTGAGTTTACTTTATATTAGAAAGTTTTAATATCTGAATCTTTTCTTAATCAGAGTATTATACTTAATAATTAATTATCTGATATAATTAAAGAGCTTAAACAGCTATTTTATATATTAAACTTTATTATATTTTAATATTCTGTATTATATTCAGTGATGTCACTGATTTGTTTATTTATTAAATATTATGAAATTATTATTATTGTTTAAAGAAGATATAAATTATATTAGTAATATTTTAAATCTGTAAGATTTAAATTATTAGCTAATTTATTCAAAATTAACAGTAGTATTATTAAAAAGTGTTATCAAAAAGTGTTATTAAAAAGCAATATTAAAAAGTGTTATTAAAAAAACATTACCTTTTACAGAGTAAATGTAAAAGTTACTTCTATAATTACTTTCATCTCATTCTTATCTTAAGAATTAGTTATTTCATTATTTTTCATTTTAATATTAAGATTCTTTATCAGTGTTTGTATCACAAGTTAAATCACATGAATAATACAGAAGATATAATCTTGTTTATTATTTTAAAAATACAATATCAGTTTTTACTTTAAGCTCTCTATTATAGCATAGTTATTCTCAGCAATATCAGTTATAATTATAAGAAGACTGAGACTAATATCTTAATAATTATTTTTAATCACAGTTATTAATATCTCTGTTAAATAATTCTTAGTATAACTACTAATCAATGATTCAAATTCAATTAATATCTCTTAATAAGTTCAGTTCTTATCAATGTAATAATATATAACTCTTATAAATGTAAGATAATTTATACTAGTTTATATATTCACTGTGAGAGACACTCTTCAATGATTCTTTAACTGTAATGTGGCGGAACCGAAGCGGTGACTAGTTAGTGATGTTATGTAGAGATAGTTATTAAAGAAGCTGTATAAGTAAGTCTGATTATCTTACTTGAATAGTGAGCTCATATACTACAGAGTTATTGTAAGAATATCACAGATATAATACTTAGTATACTAAGAAGATTGTATGAGAAATGCAGTAACTCTTATATATAATTCAGTAGAAGAAAAACAAATTACTGACTTCTTTGATGAGAAGTCAGCATTTAGCTATTCTATATAGATAATGAATGAATACTCTTCTCTTATTTCATGAGTGAGAATAGCTGAAGTGATATCTCAGCAGTGTCTCACTATCAAGAAAGAGTAATCTGCTAACCTTGTATAGAAGTGAGATTCTTATATTCATTAATCAGATCTTTCTATAATATATCTGAATGATGTTATAAAGTGATTGAAAATCAGTTCAAATAGTCTATAGAATGAATGAAATCATCTGTAAGAAAGTAATGAGCTGTGTGAAACTGTAACATAGTCTTGATATAGTTAGAGATATAATAATACTCTTCTCTTTAAGAATATAGTTCTGATACTCTTAAGATTATCAGTTTAGAAATTATCTTTATTGTATAGTAATAGTTATCAACTGATTTTAACAGTGTATATACTGTGTGTGATACAAAGAAATAGATAAGTTTCTCTGCTGACTGTATAATTCTTCTTTTCTCATCTCTGTTTAAATCAACTGTGTGATAAATGAGTTTCTTATATATCAATTTGAAATGTGAAAAATGTAGTTAATAAGTGACTTACAGATCTTTCATTATATTCTGTCCTGTGTATGAAATTCTCTGCAAAAGTGATGTATTTTAGAGATAAAGCTAATAATAGTGATAGGATTTTTTTGAAAGATTCTTCTTTCTTATAACATATTTTTCTCCTCTTCTTCAATTTATAATAGTGAGTGTATGAGAGTATTATTCTTGAAAGATAATAAGAGGCTTATTCTGATACTCTCTAGTGATTAAACATCTTTGTGATACAGCTGCAGTCTCTGTGACTGCTAAGAAAGCTCAGTTAAAGGCAGAGATGACAGTGTTAATGAACTGCAGAAGTATCACTTTCATTGTCACATCTTCTTCTTCTTCTTCTGCTTCTCTTATGACTGCAGCAGTAGTCATCATGTCTTGTAGTGAGATGTTATTTCTTCTGCTGATCAGCTCATCTGTGTTCAGTCTGTTCTCTGTCTCTCTCACTGCTATTGTGACACTGCTCTTCTTCTCAGTCAACATAGTGATGTATAACCCTGTGTGATCATTTGAAGAGAATCTCAGAGAGAGCTTGATTCTGAAAACAGTGACTCTGAGAAGCTCAATCTGTAGTTTCTCTTCTATGACATGTCTGAGCTCTGCTCAGAATGCTGCTGAGTTGAGTCTGCAGAATTCTGTGATTTCTTTATCTTCTCTCTGTGAGAAGACTCTGATATAATCTCTAACTGACACTGTTACTTGTCTGTGCTGTGCTAAGCAGCTGAAGAAAGAAGAAATCTTATATATCTATCTCTTCTTCTAATTCTGTTATTTTTATTACATCTGTAATAATAACTTCTATGTCTCTGTAAGTATTATCTATTCTACAAGAAGATATTGTGTTAATTCTGACAAGAAGCTCAGATACTCAAGCAGTACAGAGTGAGAGTCTCAGAGCTTTAAGTATTGATAGATTTTATTAAGACTGAGAAGATCTCTCTTACTCATCTGCAGAAGAAGATGAAAGTATGAGTCTCTGAGATGAAAAAACATCTCAGAATGACGAATCTTAAGAAGAGATTAGTCAGTACTGCTTAGACTGACCGTGTGACCGTGTCTGAGACCAGGACCAGATTTTTTGATAGTTTCATTATCAATTCGATCAATCTCATTACATGGTTTTAACATTAGATAGTAGTCTCATACTGTCTCAGTGAGACTTACTGTCTACTCTTGTCACATTTTTCAAATGAAATCATGATTTTCACTTCTCAATTTAAATCATTTTTATTGCTTTAAATGACTTTAAATCTCATTTGAGTGTTATCAAAAAGCATTACTTTTTAAAAAATTAAAAATAGTCTAAAAAAAACCTTAAAATGTCTAAAAATAGTAACTTTATGTCAAGAATGGGACTAAATGAGATCAAATGAGACCACTTTCTCATTTGTTTCAAGTTATGATTTCATTTTAAGATCTCATATATAGTCACTTTGCATGTTTTTTTAATGACTTGTCCCAGCGGGATTCACGCCAAGAAATGTATGAGACCAGATCAAATGAGATCAAATGTGAAATTCATAGTCTCAGCGGTCAGTCTAGTACTGCTGTTGAAAGTACTGTGAAAATAAACCACTGATTGAAGAGAATCTCACTTTAATTAAAACAGATGACTGAGATACTTTGTAAATTAATAAGTTAATACTTTATATATTTCTTATACTCTTCTGTAGCACTGCAGTACTAACTTCTCAGCAGATAAAGATACTGATACTGAAGACTTCAACAGTTAAGAATGAGTTTGATAAGAGTGTGATTATTAATAAGTAGATTTTGAGATTTCTTCTTTTTACTTTTTTCTGTGAGCTGTGACTCTATTAGAATAGCAGCAGTTTACAGATTAATAATATTAATCTTTTTATTAATTTCAAATATTTCTTTTCTCTAATCACTTCAGGAATTTTATACTTGTGTAGTCTCATTAAACTTCTAAAAATTCTTTAAGAGAAAATAGAAGAAGAGTGCTATAGAGTTTATAAGACACTGACTCATTACTGTAAAATTATCTCTAAAAAACTCTTTGAAAAAAATGAGAAGTCTTAAGCAGTATTTCTTACTTAATATCTCTGATATGTAACAGAGCAGTCTCTACTAGTTTTCTTATAGCTTACAATCTCTATCTCAGTATTTTTCAAATGCTTAAGCAGTTCTCATGAATTCTCTGATAATAAATAATCTTCTTATTTAATGAGATATTGAAGTTTGTTATAATATATTCACTTATTCAATATTTTCTTTATAAGATATTCAGTATTACTCTCAATCTTAATATTATCTGACTGAGATGACTTCACTCTGAGATATTACTTATAGAGCTTTAAATAGAAAATGTGAAAAATAGAATTAATTGATTTCAATTCTAAGAGTAATTTCAACTTATATATCTGCTTACTTATCACTCTTATTATTAGAAAAGATTCTAGTCATCACTCACTGAGCTTCTTATATAGTCTTATTATCTTGATATTCTTTGTTAAAAGTAGTACTTAATTCTCTATTAAGAACTTCATTGAAAGATGTTTTTAATTATACTATTTTATCTACTACTTCTGAATGTGATGAATACTTTTTACTCTCTTCTTATGAATTTTATTCAAAAGTTTCAATCTTGCTTTTACTTCTGATACTGAGAAATTCTCTGTTCTCTGTATCTGTTTAATATTCTGACTGTCTATTCTTCTCTTTGAAACATTGTTCACAATGTCACTAGATAATAAAGAATTATATTCATAATAAGTATAGAAAGAAGATACTTTTAAGATTGTATTCTTTGTATTATTATATATGAATTCAGCAGTTAGAAGATGTTTGAGTCAATTATTCTAATAATATAAATAGAATACTTGAAGATACTATTCTAATATCTGATTCTGATATTCAGTCTGATCATCTGTCTGTGAATGAAATGCAGTACTGAGAAGATATCTTATTATAAGATAATAGTAAAAAGCTAATCAGTATTTACTGATGAAGAGGAATTCTTGATCTATTATCAATGATTTCAGAGCACTATGATTATAAATAATAGTATTTAAAAACAGATCAGTTAATTCAGACACTTTAATCTTTTTATAAGTAGAAATATATTTTATTATCTTTGTGAAATAATTGATAATGATTAAAATTGAGTTATATTCTTTGACTCTTATTGACTTCAGTAGATTAACTATGAAATTCATTGATAGATTCTGTTATAAGCTCTTTAAGACAGACAGTGATATTAACTTATTATATTGCTTATATCATAGAATCTTTATTCTTTAATAGATATTGTAAGTCTTAATATACTCTTTAACATCTATCTGAAGCTTGTTTTAAACATATTTATGTTTTAGAAGCTTCTCAGTCTTCTCTAATCTAAAGTGTTCTGTATAAGAATTATTATGATGAATTCTCAATAACTTCTAATATATCACTCTGCTATGAGAGATGAAGACTGAATCATTCAGTAGTAGAAGTTTATATTCTTCTAGTTATCAGTGACTTAATTTCTTAGTAACACTGTTCTACTCAGAGTCTGTCACTTTCAAGTTCAAATCAGATTCTTTCTTCTTCAACTTCTGAATTTAAGCTGTAGTAGAGATGTCTCTCTTCTATAACTTATCAATGAATTTTAAAAGTAGTTGAGTTGAAAGATTGTAGACTGTTTCATTCTTTATCAATTCAATGATAGTAAGATATGATATAAGAAGCTTATAATCTTCAGTGTTAATTCTCTGCAGAGACTCAGGTTTTCTTTCATCTTCTATACTGAGTTATACAGCTGTCTTATCAGCACTGTTCTCAAGCTTTAGAGAACTTTAATTCCCTGCAGCCAGCTTCTTCTGCAGTGATAACAGAGATTCTTTTATAGAATTCTTCTTCTCATTAATGATATTATAATCAGATTATCTAGACAGTGTATCAGTGAGATTAAGCTGATCTGAATAATATTGAATATAGAAATTATACTCTGAAAGCAGCTCTGCTCATCTGACTTGATATTCTATCAAGCTCTTTGTTGTCAAGAAGTAATACAGATTTATATAATCAGTGAGAACTTACACTGAGTACTTACTACTCTGAAGATAATATCATCAGATCTTAAAGAATTTAATAATTACTAATATCTCTTAATCATGAGTATTATATCTTCTCTGTATAAGTGATAACTTCTTGAAGAAGAAGATCACTGATCTTTATTCACAGTGTCTTATAGACTCTATGAAAAAGTCTTCTCTTATAAACATTTCATTGTCTGTATTTTCAGAGTTTATTATTCTTTAATTCTTTCAATGTTGAAAGGTCTTCAGTGTTAACTGTGAAAAGATTTCACAGATCTCATTTTCAGATATATCAGTCTCACACTGACTGAGTAAGTCAGAATTAAAGTGATTCAGTATTATAATATCTGTAAAAGTTTGTTTCAATTCTGTAAATATCTGTATAATATCTTGAGTGAGAATAAATGATTCTGTTTTTCTGTCTTTCACACTTCTCTTTAACAGATTAGTAAGAGAAGTAGTAATCTGTGAATATGTATAGATGAATTATCTATAGAAATTTACAAATTCTAGAAATATCTGCATCTCATAATACATCTGCAGTGTTAATTAGTTCTTAATAACAGAGATTCAGCTTCTGTTCATTGAAATGCTGTTTATCTCAATAATATAATCTAAGAAATCAATCTTCAATATATAGAATGAGTATTTTTCAGTATTTATATAGAGTTAATACTGTCTCAAGTGACTTAATACTTCTTGAACATGAATATTGTGTTCTTTCTCTGTTTTTGAGAAGATTAGAATGTTATTTAAGTATACTATACAGAAGATATTGACAAGGCTCTGCAGTGTCTCATTTATATAGATCTGAAAGATGACTGAAGTATTATAAAGATTAAAAGATAAAACAAGATATTTAAAATTACTGTACTTGATATAAAAAGCTGTTCTTTAAACATTGTCTTTGTTAACTCTGATTCTATGATAGATATTCTGTATATTAATCTTTGAGAACATCTTTACTTCAGATAATTGATTAATCATTTTGTCAATTAACAGTAATAAATAATAATTCTTAACTGTTATCTTATTAAGACCTCTGTAGTCTATGCATAGACATAGCCTATCATTCTTCTTGAATATAAAGAGTATGAGTGTCTCTGCTGAACTCTTTAATAAGTATATTCAGTTCTTTGATTACACTTTCTCAAGATATTTATACAGAACATTCAATTTCTTTACAGATAAGTTATAAAGAGATCT